GTGTTTGTGTTTAGGACTTTAGTACACTGAACACTTCTTCGGGTGAGGTAAATGGCCGTTTGTGGCCTCAGTGACTCTTTGTTTTTCTCTTGTTTGTTAAATAAATCCCATTATTGTTGTTCTCTGAACCTGAGTAGACTTGTAATTGTGTGTGCTGGTCCGTGGGCAGTTTTAGTGCCCCTTGCTGTCCTGTATCAGGATCACAAAGAAAGTCATAGCAAAATTAAGTTTGGACACAAGGAACTGCAAATCTTAGGGGATTCTATAGGTTTGATGTGCCCAGAAACAGTACCTGAAAGCAGCAGCAAGCAGCTTCTTTGGGAAGCCATCATAGGAAATGCCAGCAAAAGCATGGGGACAGAGGGAGAGTGAAGGCTGTTCTTCAGTGTGTAGACGAGCAGGTTAACTCTAGGGGCAACAGTAGTTCATCCCCCCAAGCACCTCCCAAGATGGTTTAGAATAAGCCTCTGAATGTTCCACAAGAGGGGCAAGGAGCTGGCCATGTTTATGCACCAACTCTTGTTTGTCATTGCGTGAGGGCTGCAGCCAAGCCTTTAATTCTAGCATGTTCTATGCAGGGCTGAGCATTTTTCTGCAGCCAGAGAAAGTCTTCAGCAGAGAGTTGTGGGAAGGCACCAAGCAAACAGGACTGGTGAGAGCAGAGGTTGCTTCAGCTAAGGTGCTGGAATGCTCATTTTCCAAGAGTGGCCTCACAGCTCTGCTTTGGGGCAAGAGGCTGAAACAAAGCTTGATTTACATAGATATTTGCAAATGACTAAATATTATCCCTGTTTTGCAGGAATCCCACATGTAATTTTACACCTCAACACATTTACAAAGGCTGTCCCTCTACCTTGTAGGACTTCTAGAAAATGCCTATTCATCCTCCAAAGTCCAACTCCAAGACAAACTTTTCCATTGTGTTGCTCAGGAGGAATTCATTGTTCCCTGCTTTTGCTCTGACTGCATACTGTGCGAGCTCTGAAATAACATGATTATGTAGTGTCAGGCTCCTTGTGGGCCCCTCACCTGCTACTGATGCTAAGAGTAGTAGCTAATGTTCATGTTTAATTATGACTTTAATTATGTGCCAGGCACTGTTTTAAATACTTTATGTGAATAAATGCATTTAATCCTTTTAACAATTCTACAAAGTAGCTGCAATTACCACCTTCATTTTGTAGAATGGAAACAGAGAGAGGTGAAGCAACTTTCTCAATATCATGCAGTTAGCAAATGGCAGAGATGTGAGGCTTCCAAGTGCCTGCTCTTAACCATGGCATAGAACAACCTCTTTCTAGAAGGGGGATCCACAAACTGAAGCTTGGTCTCGTTTCTAGCAGTTTTTGTAGGGTCTCATTGTCAGGGGAAGGCAGGTTTTTATAGGATGGGAAGAGGGAAACCGGGCTTGCAGGTAATGAGGAACAGTTGTTTTCTGATGGTATCAGCAGGTCCTCATTCTCGCCCCTAAGTGGGCTTCCTACCAGATGCCTTTCGCCTTAGTAACTCTGGTTCCCGCCAGACCTTTCACTCATGCCCTACAAAATATGAAAAATCTATGAAATGTTATCTAAAAGAATCTTAAACAAGGGCCTCCCCGGTGGCGTAGCGGTTGAGCACTGGGCTGCAAAGCTGCTTGCGGCCTCTGCAGCGCCGGTTCAATCCCCGGCCGCTGGGTGAGGGTTCCCCATGGCGCACAGACCTCTCCTGCTGCGCCCACTGCTCCTCTCAGCAGTGTATTTTGTCAGTCTGCCTGCTCTGCTCCCCACTCTGGCTCTGGTGAATTCTCTCACCCTCTCGTGCTTCTGACTGTACCCAGTGCTTGTATAAATAAATAAATAAATACTTAAAAAAAAAAAAAAAACAAGAATCTTAAACAAGTGGATGACACAAGATTTAGATTTTACAAAGATCACCCTAGATACAGGGCACAAGGTAAACTGGAAAAGGGAAGATGAGTCAGGAGACTTGCAATAATCCAGGGAAGAAATGCTCAAGTCCCATAGTTAGCAGGGAACTTCCTCTCCGACCCAACAACACCTGCTTGCCTCCCCCACCTCTGTCAGCTACTCCCCAGCAGGGCAGGGCTTCCACTCATGACATACACGTGGTGCCCTACACAGATGCACCTGGCCAAGAGAGTAAAGGGAGAGCAGTGGAGCCTGGTTCCCCGCTGCCACCTATGAGAATTGGCAAGGAGCCACACATGCTGAGAAGGAAGGCTGCCTTTGCTCATGTGCGCAAAGAAGCCACATGGACTAGCAGTGGCATTTTAAACTGCTTTTTGTTTCCTGGTTGCATCATGATTTCCCCCACTTCTGTGTTTTGAGTACTGGTTTTCTCTACTAAGCATAATCATTCATTCATCCATTCCTTTATTTAGCCATTAACACATTATTTTTAGCAAAGTACCAGGTGAATTTCTTGAAAATGGGAACTCAGTGGGAGAGTTACAACCCTGGGGTTGAAATGAATATTAATGAAATAATTGTGAAGATATGCCACTCTGACTCTTTCCTGAAAGGCAGAGTGGGGACTTACTGCTTTGGGATGGGAGTAAAGCCCTGGCTGGAACAATAAGGCTTGCTTGGAACAGGCATAGCTTTTATTTCAACATGGGGGGACAGTGTGAAGAGACAGAGGATAGGGATGGCAAGTGGTCCCTGTAATGGCAGGAGGGACACAGGGCAGGTTTTCTAATCCAGCAGACCTGGTAAAAGAGGAGAGAGTCCTGGAGCCCTTGGTGGCTTCAGGCTTTTATTGGGATTTACCAGGTACACGGCAGGCAGAGGTGCCAGGGGGCCGGGAGGCTGGGGGGCCTCCTAGCCCCCAGCAAGTCTTGACTCTTTCTGGGCTCTCTGGCCTTCTCTCATGTTCTCTCTGCCTGGTTCTCTGCTCTCATTCTGTTTCTGGCCTCCCCCTGACACCGCCCTTATAAGCTCAGTCTCTCGGCCCAGGTGTACCCACTTACGCATGCCCACACGCTACTCCAGGTGCCTGCCATCAGGCATGCACTCAGGACTGCAAGGATCCATCATGAATCCTAATGGTGGGAGGGCAGAAAAGCCTGATATCATTTACTTACCCTACAGTCCCCCTTGCTGCAGTCCCACTATGTTTAACAGAATGCACTTGAGTGTTTGGGTTGGAGAAGATAGGCCTGGAGCCCGGAGTGACTCAGCATAAATAAGGTAGAAGTTGAAGATGAGCGCCCCAGTGGAGGGAGTGGGGAGAAGATCTGCAGGGGAAGGGGGCTGAGAGGGAAGGCGGCAGCAGGAGCTTGGTGAAGACCCTGGGAAACTCTCACAGTAGCTGCTGGGGAACTTTCGAAAATAGGGATGCTCAATATTTAATTTTAAATTGTGCCTCTGTGGCTTAAAAATATTCCCCATCCCAAACCTTTCATACAGCTGGCTGCACAAAAAACGCCTTAGGCAGGGCCTCCCTGGTGGTGCAGCAGTTGAGCACTGGGTTGCGAAGCTGCCAGCAGCCTCTGTAGCGCCGGTTTGATCCCCGGCCACCGGGCGAGAGTTCCACATGGTGCAGCAGACCTCTCCTGCCGCCCGCTGTTCCCCTCAGCAGTGTACTTCATCAGTCTGCCTGTTCTGCTCTCCACCCTGTCTCTGGTGAATTCTCTCACCCTCCTGCGCTTCTGACTATACCCAGTGCTTGTAAAAATAAATATATATAAATCTTAAAAAAAAAAAAAGCCTTAGGCAAATGATTCTGCAAAAAATCTGGGGGAAAAAAATGAGTCCTTAGTAAGGGTCCCTGGGGGACAATGGGAAGAACCGAGTGTAGCTGTGGGAGGTAGCACAGAATGAGGCCGAAAATGAGTGGATGCAGAACTGTGGGGCACCAGCAACAGGAGACATTCACAGAATCAGTTATATTTAAACCTCACAAAGCTAGGATTTCACTTGTAGTCGGTTGCAGGTGGTGATTGGTATAAGATGATGATGAAGGTAACGGTAGAGCAGGGGAGAGTAAGGGAGGCCAGGACAGGGAGATAAAGGAAGGGACGTGCTTATACCTTGTGTCTTTGGCATTGGGATGGGGCAGTAGTTTCCTTCTAGACATCTGTAAACAGTATTAAAACTCCTAGGTAGGGAGATTCCTTCCCACTCACTGGCTCCCCAAGTCACACTACCCAACCACCACCGTGCAAAGCCTACTGGGACTTTGGAGAATGGATCGATCCAACATTTCTTGAACACCTGTTACTTGTAGGTACAAAATCACTTGCAACATGACTCCTGGTCTGTGCCCCTTGGAGTCCTCGTGCTAGTAGGGAGACCAGCATCACCATACCACGATCTAGTATGGAGGCCTGGAGGTGGGGGAGTCGGAGCAGATCGTGACCTGGTTGTGGGCATCAAGGACACTTCCTGGAGGAGGAGCACCTAAGCAGGGCCACAGTGTTTCCCTGTAGGCGGGTGCCTGGCAACTGAGGGGAGGGGCAAAGACCCTGTTGCAGTGACTCCAGGCTGTCTGTGCCGCCCCAGTCAGGGCTTAGCCTTAAGCACAGAACAACCTTCTTGTTTCCAACAAGTCATGTCTTTCCAACTGGACTCTAAGTTCTGCAAGACCATGAAGACTTTGCACATGTGTGGCTGTGAGAGTAGAAAAGGGCAGAATGAGAATACTACCCAGGACAGTCCCTGGCCCTGGCCCCAGGGCCAGCTGTCACCAGGCTGGGGACCACCCTGGTCCTTCACTGCTTGGGGCTTGACAGCCGCCATCATGGAGCCACCTACGGAAGTGTAAGCCACCACCCCCGCACCCCACTCCCACACACACACTGGGCAGAATCCTGCTATAAATCGATGGCTGGGGGCTGGAAGTAGAAAGGAAGAGGAGGAGAGGGGGAGAGGAGATGAGGGTGAGCAAAGAGGCACTTGACTTTTTTCAATGCTCTTGCCACCGCCTTTCTTACATCCATTTTTTTTTTAAACTCAAGACACAGGTAGAGTAAAAGCTCCTTATAGATTTGACAAGAGGGCGGTCCCCTTGTGTTCGAGGTAGGGATGTAATGGCACGAGAGCTGGGGTCAGGAGCCCCAGTGAGGCTGCGGCTGGGACCGAGCAAACCCAGCGCTGGCTCCTGGCCTCTCCATCTTCGCTCGCTCAGTGTGAGGCGGCACTAGCTGCTCTCCGGGGGCTCCTGCAGGCTCAGCTTCTGGGGTCTCCAGTCTGAGCAGCCAGGTGGGAGGAAAGTCTGTCTCCGTGGCTGGTGGAGCAAGGGACGTGGCCTCTCTCTCGGCTGATCTGGGTCTGCAGAGTCACGCGAAATAGCCCCAGAGGAAGACGTTGATGGCTAGCAGGAGGACGGCGTTGAGGTTGCACACGGTCCTCCAGAGCGGCCGCTCCTCGATGCTGGTCAGCTTCTGCTGGAGCGCGGCCTTCTCTGCTGGGCTCAGCGCTGGCTCTGGGGCCCCGGAGAGCCCACAGAACCAGCCCCAAAGCAGCTTCCTCCAGGACCTGCGTGGGGCTGGGGGACAAAAGCCAGGAGGGTAGGAAAGCAGGAGGAGAGAGACAAAGGGTGCAAAAAGGGCAGTGATGAGAGGGGAGAGCAGGGCAAGGTGGTGAGATACCAAATAAAGGGGTGAGATGCACAAAAAGAGGTGGGTGGACAGGACGCTGCCTTTTCTGAAAGCCACAGGCTGGTGTTGAGTTGGGGCCAATTCTAGACTGAGTTCAAATGCTGGGCAGAGCCCCCTAACCATCAGCAGATGAAGCATCCAAGGTGGCAGGGGGTACAGGTGTGTAATGCAGGGTGCACAGCTGCGTGGGGGAGGAGGGGGCGGGGCATAATCTCCCATGGTAGGAGCGAGCAGCGGAGCAGGCAGACCTCTGCTCCGCTGTGGGAAGGGCACCGGGCTGGCAGCCAGATGGCCATTGCAGGGTGCTTCTGCCATGCTCTGACCAAGGCTGCATACAGGTTTCTCACCCAGCCTCTCTGAGCGGCTGGTTCTCTCCCAAATAGGTCAGCAGCCCATGTGGTTGTTTTGCGCATCAAAGGAGAATGGAGAATTGACAGCACTTTAGAAGTCACCAGCACTGGTGCAGTTGGAAGAGGTTCTGGTCAATGTGGGGTTCTAAATGTGCAGGAGATAGTGCTGATGCAGACCAGCACCCCCGGATGCAGAGGGCCTCCTCTTAGGTTGAAAGGTAGCACAATTAAAAAAAAAAAAAAAACAACTAAGTTCAACAGAAGTAATAAAGTAAATATTATAAAGAATTTGTTGTGATAGCAATCCAAAAACCTTGCATTAGGCTGAATAGAATCCATTGGGGATGCTTCATTATCTTAATGCCTTTGGAGTTGGTAGTTGTAAGTTCAGTGCCACTGCAGAGTCAGAGATGGAGCCCCCAATGCCATAGAGTCCGGCTCCCTCCTGAGCTGAAGAGGGAAAAGGCTCAGAGAAAGGGAGGAGCTAAGGCCTCAGGGACCTCAGAAATGCACTGAGCAATCCTGGAAGTTCAAATTTGGGTTGCTCTAGGCATGATCATTTTATAAGCCAGTCCAAATACTCTTTGGATTCACTTTTGTAGTTATTGGGGCACAATGACTCAGCAACTCTACAGCTATCTAAAAGGGGGGATGTGTAAACTTCTGTCAGATCTTCTCAGCTGTCTTTCAACTTCCTATTTTTATGACTTAAAAGTGTGCTGCCATTTTGCTGTGTAACCTGAGATCAGGCTCCATCTGCCCATAGGTCTGGTGGAGGGGGTGCTGCTTCCCCATTCCCTCAAGGAAGGAGATTTTTGCATATCACTGCCCTTGCCTCTCCCTGCCTTTCTCCCTTGGGTGCATGTGTGGGGGGAAGGGAGAGGATGAGGTTGTCTCTTTGAACTTCTTCACTGAGCTGAGCATCCTTCAGAGGCCCCCAGGGCGCAGGTGGTCCCCTGGGGAAGGCATTTCTCTGCTCCGCTGGGGCCAGACTCTGCCCCCTAGCGGGGGGCCAGCCTGGAGAGGCTTCCAGGAAATACCCTGTAGTTCCCTTTCGGGGGCTCAGGTGTGGGATAGTGTAAGCTGTGCCTTTCTTCCTCCATTAGGGGGTCACCTAGCAGCTACCCATCCTCACTCTTCTTTCTCGGTAGCTGCTTGTAAAAAGCATATGTTCTCAGATAGCGTCTTCTGGTCATAAGCTCGTTGGGAGCCAGGACCTGGTCCCTGCTATGATTTGGTGGGAGAAGCCCTTTTGTTTTGAGACCCCACCACCTAGGTCATGGGCCACAAAGCTTGAAAGAAAGACTAGAAGAGGGCCTCCCCGGTGGTGCAGCAGTTGAGCGCCAGGTTGCGAAGCTGCCCGCAGCCTCTGCGGCGCTGGCTCGATCCCCAGCTGCTCCCCGGCCACCGGAGGAGGGTCCCACATGGCGCGCAGACCTCTCCTGCCGCCCGCTGCTCCCCTCAGCAGTGTACTTCAGTCCTTCTGCCTGCTCTGCTCCCCGCTCTGCCTCTGGTGAATTCTCTCACCCTCCCGCGCTTCTGACTGTACCCAGTGCTTGTATAAATAAATAAATAAATAAATAAATAAACCTTTAAAAAAAAAAAAAAGACTAGAAGTTACTACAGAGCAAGGGATGCTTGAACTCAGGAAGGCAACAGATTAGACCTTGGAGGTCTTTGCACGTAAGTGTGCATAGGTGGTGCTTTCTGACCTGAGCCTGTGTGGGTTTTGACCTTGGAAGTTAGTGAAGGAGTCCACTCCCCATCATGGGCAGCTTTTCACAGTCGACTTTTGGCTTTAAAAGCCTGTGAGTCTTCTTTTGAGCAAGAAGCTGTGAGTCTTAGATATTGGGATTCTGACATTTATAATGTTGGGAACTCTAGGAAAGGGGCTGCGCTTCATTGTTTCCACCCTGGCAATGACCAGGAATTATTGAAAGTCAGGCACACCAGAGACTGGCATGGAACTAAGGCTTTTTGAAGCTGGGAGCTGCCAGTTCAATGGGAGAGCACACGGCTGAAGGCCCCAACTCCAGCTGGCACTGGAGCGCCCTCTAACAGGCAGGAAGTAAATCTGGCACTGAAACTTCATTCCATTTGAACTCATGAGGTACGAGAAATTGATTTGGGTTTTCACTTACGATTGAGATACCTTTTTGACTTTAATTTTTCCTTGGGATGTATAATTTGGGAAATCTCTATGATGTCTTATATTGGGATATTGTAATGCTATTTATCACACTGCAGGAGGATTACAGTGGCTTCACGTCTCAAACATTATGCCTTTTGCCAATTTTCAACTTCATATACCCTGTGACTTTGGAATAAATTAATTCATGTGCTAGCTAGCACTTTTAAGAGCCTTCATTGGGCCTCCCTGGTGGCATAAGGGGTTAAGACGTAACCTATGAAACTATCTTCAGCCACTGCAGCAAGAGTTCAATCCCCCACCAGGGAGCTACCACATGGCACAGCGGACCTCTCCTATCTCGCAGTGTATTTCAGTCAATCCTCCTGTTCTGCTCCCAACTCTGTCTCCGGTGAATCCTCTCACCCCCTGCACCCCTGGCCTGTACCCCAGTTCTTGTATGCATAAATAAATCTTAAAAAACAAAAAGAACCTTCAGGAAGCAAAGCCAGCCCACCAGCAGCTCAAGGAGGACACCATAGGGATGGTGGTGGGTCAGGTGAGCCTTGTGAACACAGAACTGCAAGGACATGCAGCTGCTGCCAACCTGCAAAGGACAGTCCTGCTTCTCGTGACCCCTTGGGCTGTTAAGCCCAGTACAAATAAGTATGCGAGTAAACAGGGGTTTCTTCGCCAGGCCTGATGTTCCGTCCATGTGGCATGACCTGATTTCTGCCCTAGACTCATTTAACCCGGGGGAGGTAAAAGGACTTCTCTGTTGGTGGATTTGGTAGGATAAAGAGGTCAAGTTTGCCCCAGTCCCTCCCTCCCTGCCTTGGCAGCACAGTGCTACAACATTATGTAACAGATGGGTACCTCTGTCTAATGTTGGGGTTCAGTATCAGGAAGTGCCTCTCTTCATGGGTCTATATTTTATCAGTAATGAGGGCAATATTTGACTCTCATTTGCCTTACTCCTTTGTCTTGTTTCTCAAATAGTTTAAGAGTCATGTGGGAAGGAAGGAGGATGATTTGGGGGGATGCAATCAGAGACCCCATTCTCAGTGATCACAAATGGGAGCTTTAGGGGACCCAAGATGTGCTATCTGTCCTCATTTCCCCAGTGCTCTTCTATGATGTTCTCCCCCACCCCAAGGGTCCTCCACCTACCTCTGGGCTGCTCAGGGTCCCTGCTGGGGTTTGCTGCCACTGTGCCTCCTACAGGGGGCTCCCCAGAAGGCACCTCTGATAGCCCTGGTGTCTGCTCAGGGGCCTCCTTCTCCAGCTCAGAGCCATGCCAATTTCGTGTCCACCATGTCAGGCGAGCAAGCTGGAGGTAAAGAAAGCACTGACTTCACTCAGCTGCCTTTGGAGAGAATCCTGATTAGTAGAAGAGCCTTCCCAGGAGGCTTTGGAATCTGCTGTCTGAACCTTAGACCCTTCATTGGAAACAAACACTTCCTGGGCTGCAGGCCGGGCTTGTGCAGGGTGCTAGAAAACACTCCGTTGGCATGTAGCTCACAGACTGGGAGGAAGGATGCTGGGGGGGCGGGGGTTGTGGTGGGGAGCACGTGAAGCAGGTGCCCCATAGCATAGGTTTTCAAGGTCAGACTGAAGTGATGATGCTCTTAAAGAAAAACAGCAACACCTCGTAGGCAATGGAGAATCACCGCAGACATCAGGCAAAGGGACGAGACAAGTTCTAGGTTTGAAGCTCTCTCTGAATGAACTGAGGACATGCAGCCCGCAGGCTGCTGCAAAAGGAATGTAAGAAAAATGAGCAGCAGGGAGTGACAGGTAGGAGGCAGCAGTCTCAAGGAACATGAGTGTGAGAATTGAGACATGGGGACTGACTGTGTGCACCAGGAGGGACGGAAGCGGTTAACTGGGCGCTCAGCTTCCTGGCTTGACAGGGTAGGGGTGGTGCCCCCACAGACAGAGGGCAGGAGGAGGGTGCTCTGGTGGTGGAAGCAAGGGAGTAGGGGTGAGGGAGAAGTGGGGAGAGGAGGGAGAAGTAGGGAGAGAATGGAGAGCAGCGGAGGGGAGAGAGAGGGCTCATTCACAGGCACAAATGTGGTGGTGAACTTGGAGAGTGTAGGACCTGGTGGGGAGGTATCCAGGTGAGTGAGGGGAAGCTGTGCCCCAGGCAGCCCTGCACTTCCCTCTCCTTCCTTGGATGACTCAGCAGAGAACACAGCATGTTCTGTGGCTAACATCAGCTGGACCAGCCACGACTACCTGAGCTCTGAACTGTCCCCTTCCAACCAGGCTCTCTTCCTGCCCAGTCTAGGCAGCTCTTTATTAGCAACTGAACCAGCTACGCAGTGCCTTGCCTTGCCGCTTCCGGCAAACACGTCCAGGGGCCCTGTCCCGGGGCACTGCCCCCTGTGCGTGAAGCTCTGCCTCTCTACAGGACCTGGAGAGCCTCCACTGCCTCTTTGCTCATAAATATCTCTCAATAAACTTTATATTTGACTGGACGGAGGGTGAAGGAGACATTGGATTGTGTGGCTGAATCTTGGAAGAGGGGATCTGCTGGAAATGGAGCCTGCAGCATCAGCTCCCTAGAGAGGGTTGCTGAAAGCACAGGTGTGGGTAGGACGGCACAGGGGAGTGTGACTGAGAGTGATCACAGGCCAGAGCCGGGGCCCCAGGGAACAACGACGTGACGGTAATGGAGACAGAAGTCATGGGTTAAATGAGGTCACTAGCATGGTCTTCATCCAGTATGGCTAGTGACTGGATAGAAGAGGCAGGAGGACCACATGAGGGTAAGAGAAGGCAGACACTAGCAGGCCAGGGCCTCACAGAGAACATCCTGCTGACAGCTTGATCTCACGCTTCGTACATCCAGAACTGGGAGAAAAGACCTGTCTGCAGTTTAAGCCACGCTGTCTGTGGTTCTTTGTTATGGCAGCAAACTAACACCTGCTCTAAAGAAAAGAGACTTCAAAAAACTTGACTTTCCGGGCCTCCCTGGTGGTACAAGGAGTTAAACACAGCACCGTGAAGCTGTCCCCAGCCTCTGCAGCTTGAGTTTGATTGTGGATCCCCGGCCGGCCAGGGAGTTACCCACATGGCACAGGGAAGGGAGAGAGAGGGCTCAGCGGACCTCTCCTGTCTCGCCCGCTGCTCCCCTCAGCAGTGTATTTCAGTCAGTCTGCCTGTTCTGCTCCCCACTCTGTCTCTGGTGAATCCTCTCCCCCGCCCCCTACACCTTTGGCCTATACCCCAGTTCCTGTGTGCGTAAATAAAAACTTTAGAAACAACAACAAAAAACCCCTGGACTTCCATGATGGAGGACTAGAATGTCCATCAGCTGAGAGGAGGGAGGAATTCAAATAGCCTCCTCATTGGTAGGCTCTAGCTCCTCCTCATTCTTCAGGGTCCACCTCAAGGTAACCTAGTCAGGGAGAACTCCCAGGCCCCCAGGGGTGCTGCCTCTCCTTTGTGCTCAGCTAGCTCTCCCTATGAGCTTAGTCCTGTACATTCTCTTGGTAAAATAATTGTGAGTATTGGTGTCTGTTTCCATGCAGGTGGACAGTTGCTGGCAGGGACATTTCATCTGTGCAGCTCTATACAGTGTCTGACACACAGTAGGTGTTCACGGAGTCATTTTCCAATTAAATGAATTACACTCACCTGGGGATTAATTAATAACCCAACAAGCTCTCCCTTCCCAGGGCATTTGTATGGCAACAGGGGAGAAGGTAACCCCCAGGGTAAAACTCAAATGGTGGAATTCCATGGGGTTGGGAGGCATAAGGGGGCCCCCTCGATAGGGGCGCTCCACTTACCTTTTCCTTAGGGATGGGGGTTGTGAGGAGGCTGACCATGATGATGACGAAAGCAGTGAGCCCACAGAGGAGGAGCGCAAAGTACAGGTAATGGACGTCTTTCAGCACGGGCGGCCTGCGATCCACCTCCCCACAGGCGGGGGCTGGGTATGAGAACTCCAGGATCATGCGCACCAGCCCCACTGCCAGGCCAAACAGTAGGCCCCAGAAGGCCCCCTATGCAGAGAGAGCAGGCAAGAGCAGAGTGAGAGCCAGATGAGAAACTCTAGGAAGTTCAAGTCACTCCAGCCCCAAATTTGTTATTGTGTTTGCAAATCCATCTTTGTGAGCTCCCCATTAAGGCCGAGGTGTTGTCTTAATTCAAAGGCTTAAGCCAGCTGTAAGCAGTTATAACTGGTTGGAAACACTTAGAAATACTTAGAGCATGTTTGAAGTGGTTGTATCAACATAGAACTGGTTTGAACAAGTGAAAACCAATTTGATCTGGTCTGAACTGGTTTGATTCTGCCAGTTGGTTTGAACCAGTCTGATCTGATCAGAAATGGTTTGAACCAGTCAGAACCAGTTTGAAATGGTCTGATCTAGTTAGAAGTGGTTGAGCCAGATTGAACCAATTTAAGCCAATCAGCACTGGTTGGGTCTGATTTGAGCTGGTTGGAAACAGCTTGGGCCAGCTGGAACTGTCATAAGTCGCATCCATGAGTCTCCATAGAGGATTGATAAATGTTTGTTGACTGAATGACTCTAGATGTGGAGCTGTGGATTGGGAGACTGCCCCTAGAGGGGCAGTTGGTTTGTCCAAAAATCACAGAGAAAGACCAGGTTACAGACAGACCAGCTCTTGACCCTCTGGTATGGGGTGGGGGGCAGGTGGGTGGCTGCACTCACAGGCTCTGTGACCCTCGTGCAGAAGATGGCCAGCAGGAAGAGGGCGGTGATGGGCGGAGCCAGGTAACTGGTAATAGACTGGATGTAGTCGAAGAGCTGCCCGCTATTGGAGCTTTGGATGATGGGGATCCAGAGGATGCTGATGATGACCAGGAACACAATAAACACTCTGTAGGGAGGGCACGAGACACTGTGAGGAGTGCGCAGGGCAAGGCATGGGCACAGCAAAAGTGAAACACAGGAGCCAGGAAGACCCTGAATGTGTGGTGGCTGAATCAGAGAAGGTTTTAAGTTCAGTGTCCCAAACGCTACGATTCCATAGATTTGGACTCTTAAAATTCTAGAATGTCAGAGTTTCACAACTTCAGATTTTTTGAATCACTTGAGGTCATGCATTCCACTGAGTACTCAGGGAGAAGTCTACACCTTTCCCACCTCAGTAAGTGACCTCTGGTGTTAGCTGGAGACCCTGGGCAGGACAGCAACCCCTTTCTCGGAAGCAACTCCAGTCTAGGATATCCTCCCTTCTCTAGGCTCTTTCAACTCTCACCACCTTTCCCTTTCATTGGCTGTCAGCTCAGAGCAGGAGCCCCACATTCTTCTCCTGTCTGCCCCTTATCTGATCCTCCTCAGGTCCAAGTCCCCAAAGCTTACTTTCTGTGTGATCTTTTGCAGGTGTGTTGCTAGAAAAACTTCTCTTGGATGTATTGGGTGCAATACTGAAGATGGCCAGGAGATGGCGTCCAAACACCATCGATGAATGAAATAAGCCTCTTATCAAAGTTCTATTTTGAATCGTGGCAAACAAACCAGAGATAAGGTTCAAATTCTTTAGCTTATTATTTCAAGGCTCTGTGTCATTTGAAGACAGTCTTCCTGTGAACGCCTTCATCGATGCAGTTGCCTCACTGTTTCACCTGCGTTTCTGCCTTTCTCATTAAACTTTGGCAACCTCAGGACAGGGCCATATAAGGGGTCCCTGTGCTCTGCATACAGCACAACAGAATCACACGGGGTGGATGCCCAGGCTGAGTCTGAGGGACTTTCTGCTGTACTGGGGTGACAGCCAGAGCTGGTCTGAAAGCTCTCAGGGCTGAGCTGCTTGCTAACTCACTCCCACTGATACGCCTTTCACTATGTAAAGACCATGAAGTCGTTCACATTTACCTCATTGTTCTATTCCAAGAAAAAGCTCACCAGACAGGGAAGAGATTTTTCTCTCCTTACTCTGGAGGGGGTGGAGTGGTCCCAAGTTGGGGAGGGACATACCTGAGGTTCTGTAGAAAGGTCTGCTAGAACAAGTTTCTCTGCCTGCCTGTGGGGGTGGGCAGGGAGAGTGGTATCTCCCCAGGGAAGCCCAGTGCAGGGAGGACAGGGGTGGGCTGCCATGGAGGGACACGGAAGGATGGGCCAGCACACCTGCCCACCACCATCAGCTCCTGCTCTGTCGCCTTCCTGCGGAAGCGCTGCCACACGTCAATGGTGAACAGGGTGCTGCTGCTGTTGAAGATGGAGGTGAGGGAGCTCATGAGGGCGGCCATGATCACAGCGATCATCAGGCCTCGCAGACCTGGGAAGAAACGAGGTTTGCTCATAGCAGCTGGCAGTGCCCAGCAGATTCAGGAGTTTGTGGGGAAGGGGACGATGGGCTGGGATGGGATTAGGAATCTGGGAGAACTAGAGCCCAGGTCCTGCCCGTGCTTTGTCTCTGCCTTGGGTGGGCCTGTGGCCTTGGGTGGGTCACCTGCCCAGTCTCCCATCCACCTCAGTAAGGGGTGTGCGCCACACAGCCTGCACTGTTCTCCATAGCTTTCCCATCTCAGCCTGGATTTCAGAGGTTATGACACCTGGCTCGTGGGTCCTTGGTAGGGAGGAGTGTGATTGTTACTAACTGAGTGTCTTCACACTAGCAAGATATGTGAATCACTGTGTACACTGAAGCAGTCGCTGCAATAGGTAAGATATGGGAACAACCTGAGTGATAGCTGTGGACAAAGAAAAGGTCTCTCTCTCTCTCTCTCACACACACACACACACACACACACACACACACATCATGCAATGTGGTTCAGTCATCAAAAGAATGAAATCTTGCTCTCTGAGCCAACACAGATGAACCTTGGGGGCATTATGTTAAGTGGAATGCAAAACAGAGAAAAGCTAGTAGCCTTTATCTTCTATGTGGAATGTAAAACAAACCAAAAAGCCCTCAAGCTCCTAGAAACAGAGAACAGCTTGGTGGTTGTCAGAGGTGGGGGTGAGGGAGAAATGGGTGCAGGTCCAGACTTCTAGTTATAAGACCCGTAAGTCCTGGGAAAGTGACGTACAACTTGGCGACTGTGGTTAATAATACTGGATTGGGGGCCTCCCTGGTGGTGCAAGGGGTTAAGCACTGCACTATGAAGCTGTCCGCAGCCTCTGCAGCACAAGTTCGATCCCTGGCCGGCCAGGGAGCTACCCACATGGCACGGCAGACCTCTCCTGACTCACCCGCTGCTCCCCACAGCAGTGTACTTCTGGTGAATCCTCTGGTGAATCTTCTCACCCCCCACATCTCTGGCCTGTACTCCAGCTCTCGTATGCATAAATAAATAAATCTTTTAAAAAAATAATACTGGATTGTACATTTGACAGTTGCTAAGAGGGTAGACCTTAAAGGTCCTTATTGAAAGGAAGAAAACTCATAACTGTGTATGAAGACGGATGCTGCTGTTGATCTTTTCATAGTATTTACAAATAAATATCAGATCCTGACATTGTCCACTTCAAATCAATATAGTGTTTATGTCACTAGGATGTAAATGTCAATAAGAAATACTAATTGAGTGTCTAGTGCCTTGTACCTTGTCCAGGATGCTATGGAATTGGCTAACACACATACCAGGAGGCAGAAGCCCTGATGATTTCTGCAAGGAACTGGCTGTGTGACCTTTGGACTAGCTCCCAGCCCTCCTGGGTCTCTTTCCCACCTGCAGTAATAGAGGGTGGGACCCACTGCTATCTGCAGCCTATGATGCCAATGATTAAGCTTCTAGAAACACAACTGCCAGCCTGGGGAGAGGACCCCCTGCCCACCTCGGTCCTCCATTCCCCAGATCCGCATACATGCAAGCACTTGGAAGATGCAAGCTGTCCCAAACCCAGGCTATCGTCTTTCTCCGGGGCCATTTGTCTCTTCCTTGGGTTAGCAGCGTCTCCTGTCTCCACACCAGCATCTCAGAGCTCCTTCCTCTGCTCTCCTCCACCCACCTCCTTCAAGCAGCCGGCCCTGCTACTGCTCTGGCACTGCTAGGTCTCTCCCCGCCACATCACCACTATATCTCTGATCATTTCTCATCCTTTCGGAGGGAAGAAATAACTCCCACCTCATTGACTTCCCTCCATAATTCTGCCTCCCCTCCTGTACCCAATCTCCATATCTTTGTAAACCCACCTTCTAAAACCCAGGACCAGGAGCCCTGTTTGGTCCCTGCTTTCTTGTCCCTCAAATATAGCCAGTCACCAAGTCTTGCTAATTCTCCTTCACAAATATCCTTTATACTCCTTCTCTCTATCTCCAGAGTCGTCGATGGGTCCAAGAGTCCTCACTACTCACCTGGCCTGCAAACCCTCACTAGTGGGGTCCCTGCACCCCCGCGCCCCACCAGGAGGTCCTTCTGCAGCTCAGATCCCTTCATGCACTCTGGCCTCATCCCCCAGTGGCGCTCCATTGGCCTCCGAGGACAGACACCACTCCAGGAAGGGGGTTCCGCACACTGGGCTGCTCTCAGCCCAAACTTCGTGGTCCTGTCAGCCCTGGGCCTCTGCAGCCCCTCCCCCCAGGGTGGCGTTTCCTATGCCCCTCCACCTCTGCCAGGATGTTCTCAGGACTCAGCTCAGTTTCCCCTGGGAAACTTCCGAAGCTGTCCGGAATGGGTCAGGTGCCTCCTTAGGAATCCTGCAGTCCCGCTGTGTTCCATATTGCCCCGGTCCCCTACAGGCTGCCTGGGGTCTGAGAGCAGATCCTTTATCCCTGCATCCCCTGGGGGCACAGAGCAGGAACCTCACAGATGCTTGTGAAAAAGAGTGTGTATGTGTGTGTGTGTGTGTGTGTGTGTTGGGGAGCGGGGTGCTCAGATGAAGGTTTTGATTCTTCCTAGCCACACCCATCCTTAATGCAGCCCCTCCTGGGCAGTGAGGACTAGAGGAGGCTGGGAGGCCAGGGTGAAGGGAGAGTGGGACTCACCGACGGGCATGAGAGTCATGATCAGCTTGGGGTAGGCAATGTTGGAACATCCTACACGGGCCCCGCAGGTCCTTTGGCAGATGTCAGGGTCCACACAGGCCACCTCATCTGCAGAAGAGGTGATGGCCATTGGTGTTCCGTCATCTCCTGTTTTCCACGGTTGGCCTAATATTTGCTTTCCACCCCCTAGAGAAGAGCTTGCTGGGTCCAGGGGCAAGTGGCTGCTGGGGACCATGGTATAGCTGTCTCTGGTCAACTTCTCCACCATACACTACCCTACAGAGTCTTTGGGTTTTAGATCATCTGTCCTGATAAAAGGCAGCTATCCTGGGAAGCACCTAGAATGCCTTCCTTGGTCTTCCCCTTGTAAAGAGGAAGGAGGGTTTAAAAGTGGCTTTCATTTGAGCTTTGCATTCACTAAAGGAACTAGTGAAATATATCAGTTGTTTCAGAAACAGCATGCTTTCTTTAAAATTAAAACTAAAATGATAATTAAACAGCATTAGAAAATTGCAATGTTGCTCTTTGGGGACTTCTAGTAGCATTGGCAAGGATTCTAACTACATCTATTTCAAATAAGATCTTCCCTCCGGCTGAGGGAGTGGACACACAGGACCCGAGCCTTTCAGCAGGCTGCACTGTATAATTACATATTTTCTGTCAAAATAATAAAATCGAGAGAAACGTCCCCGCTTTATCACTTAGGCCTCCCCCTTACCTTGCACTTTGGTTTTGTCTTTCTCTGCCACCCTCGGGATTCTGTCCTGACTTTTACTATGATTCTGAGTTTTGGCTTTGTAAATGTTGCTTTATTTGTTTCATTATATGAAAAAAATGGTATTTTTCAAAAAATAAAAATGGCGCTCAGATACAATTTCTTCCACTGAAATACTCACTCAATGTCTGGCCCACAAAGCCCAAAACACTTACTAGGTATTGTTAGCAGGCGTGGTGAGCTGTTCCCTGCTCTAGTCCAAAATTGCTCCAGAACGAGAGGCTCTTACCTGGGTACAGGGCCCGGCTGATCATGCCTGGCATGACGATGAAGAACATGGGCAGGATCTTGAGGTAGCCCCCCAGCACGGAGCCTCCCTTGGCGTGGGACAGACTCTTGGCAGAGAGAGACCTCTGCACGATGACCTGAAAGGGTAGTGGGTGGGGGGTTGGGGGGCTCAGCTTAGCTCATTGTGCCCAGGGTGAGCCCCTTTGCCCCGTGAATCCTGGTGCCCAGTTTTCAGGTGGGGATCCCCGCCGGGCAATCTGGGTCAGCAGGGCCAAGCCCGGCTGGGGCATCACCTGGTCCGTACACCAGCACCAGGTGGCCAGCACTGTGAGACCAAAGATGAGGCCTGGCCAAGGGATGTCCCCGCTCACGGGGTCCCGGAGAATGTGGAAGGCGTCGGGCCGGGGGAGGTGACAGGTGGTGTTGGGGACCGTGACATTAGGGATGGCCTGCCTGTACCGCTGCTCCAGGCCGGGGAACCAGCCCACCTCCTGGAAACCTGAGGGAGAGACCACCGTGAGTGGAACATGGGCCTGTCACATCCTCCCACCCCATCCCCTGCACCTCCCAATCCTGCTTGGGGGCCCTGGTATGAGACTGGTATGAGACTTGGGAATGGAGCTCAGGATGGTTTGAAGTGGGCAGTATCCTACTCCTTAGGAGCCCAGCCTGGAAGGGAGAGATGGTTCTGTGCTCTGGAAAGTTCCAGTCAAACCATAGAGGTGTCAGCCAAAGACAGAGAAGAATTTAAGGGTGAGGGTGGGATACAATTCAGGCTCCTCCTTACCCAGAAACATGAGGACCAGGGCTCCCCCCACCATGATCACCGTCTGCAGAGCATCTGTGTAGATCACGGCTGTCAGGCCCCCTGGGGACCAAGGAGAGAGCTCATTAGTCACCAACCCACAGGCAGGGGGTCCCTCCCTGGGTGCCCACCCTGTGCTTGGGCATGCTGGGGAGACCAGAGAAGACACGGAGCCGCTCAGCAAGTGGATTCCACCCAGCAGGATCGGGGCTGCTCACAGTCAATGTGCTCAGCCCTTTCCATCCTGAAGGCCTCTGACAGGCTGTCAGGCTGCAGCGGTTTGCTCGGTGACATCCCTAGTCAAGCTCTTGCTGTAGCTCCACCAGGAGGCTCCTGCCTTCTCCACCCCAAAGCCCACTTAAATCCCTCATCTTTCCAGGCTGGCTTAGCCGTGACTGGTCGGCTCTGGTCAGTCTCCAGGTGCCAGGCCTGTGTGAGGTGTCTGGAGGAGACAGGCAAGCAGGTTTGTGACTTTGTCTGGAGACGCCACAGTGACTCCAGTCAGAGCAGCCGTCTCCTGTCGCTACCCTGCTCCAAGTTACAGTCCCTCAGTGTCTCTCCTTCCCTGTCTCTCTCCAGCTCTGATTCTTCCTGTTTCTCCCTCCGTCGACCCTTTCTGACTCTTCCTTGGATCCTGCATCTCATCTGTCTCTTTGTTTCTGCCTATATCTCAGCCTCTCTCTTAGGGTCAGTTTGCACTCTGTCCATCCTCTTGTCCAGCCCTGCAGTCCTGTGTGTCTCTGCAGTCAGAGTATCTGTCCACCTCTTTGTGTCCCGCAGTCTTTGTTTCCCGGCTGCACCCCAGCATCACCTTCCCTCGCCCTACCTGCGATGGTGTACACGGCGGTCACCACCAGCAGGAGCACTGTGGAGACGTACAGGTTCCAGCCCAGGGCCATCTGGATGAAGAGGGCTCCAGAAAAGATGTCAGTCTGCAGAGAACCAGGACCCGGGAGGCCAGGTCACCTGAGGCCCCGGCGTGGCCACCAGGGAGAGTCTCCTTCCTGCTTAGCAGCACCGGGTGCTGCCGCTCTTATCTGGCAGTGCTGAGAGCACTGGGCTGTCCTCAGGGAGCGTGAGGGAATGAAATGGAAGATGAGGCAGTGAAGCAGGGAGCTGGGGTCGGAGAAGAGACTATGGGGGAGCATAGAACAGGTTCTGGCGGGTTCCTGATTGCCCCTGAGAGCTCGGGCAGCCTCAGCCAGATAGGCCTGGGGCTAAGCTGATGGGGCAGGAGTCCAGAACAGAACCACAGGGCCTGGAGAATCTAGGTGTTCACATTTATTAGAGGATTTGAGGGGTCAACCTTTGCCTAAACTGACTTACTGTTGTTTTTAGGCATGGGTGGAACGTGACGCTACATTTTTCCAGCCCTTTACCCGGCGACTGCCAGCTCCTACAGTGCATGCATGTGATGGCTCCGTGACGGGTGAGCCCATCGCTGGTGCTACCACGTGGCAGTGAAAAAAGACCCAATGGGGCCTTAGGAGCCAAACTGTGGTTCTAGTCCCAGAACTAGCCTTCCTTGTGGACATGGGCAAATCATTTGACACATCTAGAATTTAGGCCAATAAAGGAAGAATAAGGACCTTTGCAGCCATAACATTCTAGGCAATTAGTACATGGTGCTGAATGAGAATTGTTTGATGAAAAATGATGAGTGAACTCTGGAGTATGAGCTTTTTGAATGGAGGGGTTGTCATTCATTCAACAAACATTATTCATCTCTGATTACTCCACTGCTGCAGGGGAGCATGTGTTGAAGGTATGAGGATTCATCCTTCCTTTCTCCTGCCCACCCATCTGCCCTTCCATCCATCCATCCATCCATCCATCCATCCATCCATCCATCCATCCGTCCGCTTATCCATCCATCCACAACAAGCCACGCAAGATAGCTAGATTAGAGTGGAACTCACTGAAATCTTGGTGAAGATATAGAGGATGAGAGACAAGACAGACATGTACACCTGGATCCTCTGGCCCCCAAATCTCTTCTGCAGGTACTGTGGCATGGTGACCACACCGGCTGCTATGTAAACGGGGACGAAGATCCACCCAAGGGCGAGAAGGAGCCAAGTTGCCTGAGAGAGGGGGGAGAAGAAGACAGCCATGTCTCAGATGCAGATGGAGGGTCAGCCCCTCCCCACAGGAGCTGGGCTGTGGGAGAGTCCTGAGCAAGGAGGTAAGGACCTGGGACATGGTGGCCGCTGATGAGCCCTCTGCCTCCTCCAGGCCTTGATTTCCTCATCTGTAAAACGGAATCTCGATTTATGGCACAACCTCCCCAAGCACCTGTGAGGATCTGCTCAGCTCTAAGGCCAGGAATTGGGGGGGGGGGGTTGTTTAGATCCCCAACTTACGTTCCACTCGAAGCCACCCACAGCGAGGCCTCCGGCAGCTCCCGTCCCAGCCAGGCCCATGAACAAGCCACTGCCCACATTGCTGGACATCAGAGATGCGCCAATCTGCAAGGCACAATGGGGTCAAAGGTCAGGGGTCAGTTTCAAACTGATCCAACTGGGATCAGGACCATGAACTTAGGAATGAGAAGGAGGCAAAGAGAGTAGGATCTGGACTCAGGAAATCTGAGAACAGGAAGAGGAGAGGGCAAAAGGGATAGAATTGATATTTATTAGAAACCTACTCTGTGCCAGGCCCTGTGCCAGGCATTTAAATGCACGAATGCATCTCCACAGATATTTGGAGGGGTGGGTTTAATCTTTCCTCCCTATGGAGAAAGGAATTAATGTTCAGAAAAATGAAACATTTGGCCACCGGCCCTCCAGTGAGTGAGTGAGTGGCAAAGTGATCAGGGAGGGAAGACCCCGGAGCAGGTGGGAAGGGCCTGCTCCCCCTGTTCCATAGGCCCAGGACAAGGCCAGATAGAAGGGGGAGCTCAGGGGCTGAGCACAGGCCCAGCCAGCCTTGGAGCTCAGTTAATTTTTCTCCAGGAGGCCAGCCCACTACTCCAGGGCAGTGAGGGGGCGGTGACCACACCCGGCACTGCCACAGCAGGGCCACGGGCTGGATGTGTTCTAATGTGTCAGCTCACCCTGTCCTTGTCACAGCCCCAGAGTTGATCCTCGGAAGGGTTTATCTCCCTTCTTCCTACTGCAGGAAGAGGGAAGTCAGTTTAGAGGACCAAGAGAAATGTGGGGTGGCCAGATGGGAGTGATTAAGGTTCACAGAGGTTCTCAGGGTCAACTCCTGAGGTGGTGGGGCATTTTCCTCTACGAGTCCCCTCATTTCGCTGCTCTTCAGTCTTAAGCTTCTGGGTCCCCTTCTTTAGTCACCTTCTGCTATCTGAGGTGGGAGGCTTCCTGGAGGGGATCACACGCCCCTGCTCTCTGGGCCACAGCCTCGACCTTTTTGCTTATGAGTCTGTCTGCTCAGCTCAGCTCAGCTCTGAGCTCCTCATTCTAGATGTTCTCTGTCAGTCCCTTGTCCAGCTTACAGCCCACACTCAGGAGGTGCCCAGCGGAGGCTGGTCTGCTTAGCAAGATGTCTCAGGTCCTGGGCTGCATTTGGCTAGAGACAAGGAGCCCACTTGGGGTGCTGGTTGTCTTGGTTCAGATGAGAGGAGAGACAGTGGGAGCAGAGGAAGGAGGAAGGAGGAAGGTGAACTCACCGGCCACCAGCTCATGGACTTCCCTGCCAGGAAGTAGCCGCCCACGGTGCCCCGGCTTGCACGGATGGATGACTGGAAAGGAAACGGTAGAGCTGAGGGCGTCCCGAGCCTCTGCAACCTGTGGCCTCACCCAGACTCCTGCCACTTGGCCCAGGCATTGCCTGGGGATGGGGAGGTGAGAGCAGGAATTGCCCTGTTTTTTAGCTAAGCCTCTTCTTTGGGAGGCCCAAGTTCTCCGAGCCTGCCTGCTGCTCTCCCAGGACTGCCGTGAAGACCCAGGGGGCCGAAGGAGGAAGAGCCTCTTCCATGAATGGCCCAGATCACTGAGGGTGCACTCTTGTCCCCTCATCCTGCTCTCTACCCCAGCTTTGCTCCAGGAAGTGATGTGGCATCTCCAACTCAGGCCACCATGGCTGAGGGGAGGCTACCCTATCCCCAACAGCCAGCAGGACCCCCACACCAAGCTGGAGGACTGAAAGCTGCCATTCTGAGGGTGGGTGGGGCTTTGGGCATCTGCAGAGGTAGGTCTCTGTTAGGGGATCATCTAGGGATCATCTCTGCTCAGGATCAACTAGGACTCTGGAACAAGCCTCTTTCCTGCCCAGGCAGGTGGTCAGTTAGTGGCCTGTTTGGGGATGTGACTTGCAGAATAAAGGGGAGTGGGGGTGAAAGCGGTTTCTCTGACAATGCAGGGCTCGGGGGGTGCAGGGCACTGGGGAGGGAAGCAACAACTTGAGGCCCTTGTGAAGACACTGAGGCCAGCAGGTCTGATCAGGTCTGGAGACAGGACCTGCTGGGGAGGAAGAAAAGGGAGAACTTATAGATGTTTCTCTTCTCCCACGGGAATAACTTGTCTGGTCAGCAGGAACATCAGTGAGTGCTGGGCCTGGTGCTGGTGAAGTATTTGCTTGGTTCCTGGAGTCACCTCTAGTCCTCAGGGGAGAGCCAAGGCCCAAAGTCGGGGAGCAGCTTGTGCAAATTTGCTGGAGAGGCAGTGCCTCCCTAGTTGTCTCCCAGGCTCCCTTGTGCCCATTTCTTCCTAATACTGGCTCTGGGAGGCTGGACTGTTCACTCCACTTTACAGATGAGCAAACTGAGGCCAGAAAGGCACAGCCTGGTGAATAACCATAATCTGTCTGACAGTGGAGTCTAAAGGTGCTGGCATTTCTCTTGAAATCTGTGGTGATAACAGCAGCCAGTAAATGCTGCTGGCTGTGCTGGGCACTGGGCCAGGTGCCAAATGCATCTTGTCCTTCAGTGGCCATGACCTCTGTTTGTGTCATCTTGTCACCTCCCTGTCCATGTGAGAAAACAGGCTCCAGGAGGCTTTGCATATTCCCCAGGGCCACCCTGCTCTGGCTGGTGGACTTGGAGGCTGGAGTGAGGGCCCCCTGACTTAGCAGCTGGCCTCTGTCTAGGAGTCTCAGAGAACAAGGGAGAACAAAGGCCTCAGGGTGCACCTAGTTTCTCCCTGTGAGCACACCAGCCCCAGTTCCTTTGGAAAGCACCACTCCTGTGCAGACACCAACTAGAGGAGGGTGGGGTCAGGCCAGGAGTCAAGCTTTTACAGAGTTGGGGATCTTGGCATGGGGATGAGGGCTGGAATGAGGCTGGGCTGCCAGGGGTGGTTGGGGCCAAAGGTAGCAGATGAATAGAGATGGTTTCCTGTGCGACCTCAGGCAGGTCACAGCCCTCTTTGCACCTAGTCTGTCTTAGAAAGGGAGGGGTTGGAGAGAGAGGATGATTCCCCAAGGCCCTTTCACCTCAGGTCCTGTGCTTCTTTGAACCACCTTCATTCTGCTGCCTGAAGGCCCACCTCTGCCCCCAGCTCCAAGACCAGCCTGAGACAAAAGCTTCCCTTGCCTCCCTTGCTGGGCCACGACCACCAGGCTTACCCAGATCCCCACGGCGATGACAAAGACAAAGTAGACGACCAGGACCGTGATGTCGTAGGCGTGCAGGCTGGCTCCAGGGTCCAGGTGTGGGTATGGAGCAGCCTCAGTCCTGGCTCTGTCTCCCAAAGCTCCTGGCCCCATTGCTGCCAGCTCCACGCTCCTCTGCTAGTCAGTCACCAACGGCTGGACTTTGAGGTGCTCCTGGCTCTATCCTTTCCTTTAATGATTAAACAGCCCCGAGTGCCATTAGCTGCTGAGAAAGAGCTGAGCCCTGCTGGCACGTAAAGTCCTTGCCCGCTTTCCTCCTAATCGTCAGCTCATCCTCTGCAAGACTCTCCCTTTGGGCCTCCCCGGTGGCGCAGCGGTTGAGCGCTGGGTTGCGAAGCTGCCCGCAGCCTCTGCGGGGCCAGTTCAATCCCCGGCTGCTCCCCGGCCACCGGAGGAGGGTCCCACATGGCGCGCAGACCCCTCCTGCCGCCCGCTGCTCCCCTCAGCAGTGTACTTCGGTCCTATTGCCTGCTCTGCTCCCCGCTCTGGCTCTGGTGAATTCTCTCACCCTCCCGCGCTTCTGACTGTACCCAGTGCTTGTATAAACAAACAAATAAATAAATCTTTAAAAAAAAAAAAAAAAAAAGACTCTCCCTTTGCCTGCCCTCACTGCAAACACACATACACATATACGACATACATGACTCGCACACACACACTTCACACATACATGCACAGCTACATGTATGCACATGCAACGCACACACACATGCACCCTTGTCACATGCCCTCACACAAACACACACACGCGCACATGGGTGTATGCATCACACGAGTCACATACAGATGTGTGCACTCCTACTCCAGCGAGGAACGGGAGGAAGGAGCGGAGCCCCGAGATCCTGAAGCTGAAAGGGACAAAAGAGTTCAAGCTCCTGCTTGTGTGGAGGGGAAACTGAGACCCAGGGAGGAAATAGCCACACAGGGCAGTAAAGCTGGTCCTAAGTCTAAAGTCCAGGTTTCTTACTGGTGAGTTCCAGGCAGTTTTCCTTATGCCCAGTGGGAGGGAGACAGGGACGGGACGGGGCGAGTCTGCTCTGCCCTCACATGGCGGCAGGGCAAAACATCGCGTGCACCTGCTCCAAGCCACCCAGGTGCCCAGGTGCATTTTCCTTTTTTTTTTTTTTTTTTTAATGCTGTAGGAAACTGAGGCCCAGGAAGAGGCATGATTTACTCCAAGCAAGGAGAGGCACCATCAGTGACAGGGCAGAACCAGAATCCACATCTTCTGGGCCCACATCCTTCCCTGCACCATGACAAATGAACAGTCCTGAAAAGCACGCAAGGGACCTTGGGTCCAGGCAAGACCATTGGTCCCAGGGACCCAGTGGCTCTCACGTCTCACCTCATAGCAGACTGCGGGCAGGTTGCTAAGTGACTCTGCACCTGAGTGTCCTCTCAATGGGCCTGTGCCCTGCCCACCACACAGTGCAGGGAGAGCATGTCTTCCCATCCTCCCCCTGAAGGACCCACTTAGACCTCAGGGTTCTACTGCCACGTGCCTTGCCCACACCCCATCCTCAAAATGCTCCAGGCTGAACTCCAAGCCCTGAACATTTACCTTGTCCTAAGCCAGCAGGCCTGGGTCCTCCGCAGCCACTCCTCAAATGTACCCAAAACCCCAGCTGTTAGCTAGCCAGGGAATCTAGCAAGCTGGAGCCCAGCAGAGTCCTAGGAAGGGAACAAAAGATACTGCACAACAACCAGATAGATATTGTGACATCTATGCAGAGCCCAGCCTTTGCCGTTTGGCTGAGCCCCCAGGCTTACTTCTGCTTTCCTATTTGTGCCCCAGCTCACAACAAGTTGGGAACCTCTCACCAGCGGGAGGGAGGCTGCCAGAGGCAGACAGGCTGTGCAGAGAGAGCAGACAGCTGCTCTTGGTGGTGCCCGGGATTGCACTAAAACCAGATGAGACAGAAAGAATGGTGCAAAATACAGACCCAATGGGATGGAGAGGGCTGTGGCACAGGGTGAGCCCACTCTCATCCCAGAGCATCCTGATCAGCAGCTGAGGCTTCATGTGCATATTGATGGCCAGTATCTCCGAACATTACTGATTTCCTCTTTAGAGGGCTTGGCTTGTGACATCCAGCAAGAAGAGTTGCATGCAGAGTGGTTGAACGTTTTAGGCAGGTGAGGGCAAGCAAAGATGAGGCCTTGTTTTTGCAGTGGGATTCTGGGGATCAGTGGGCCCTGAGGGACCACACTCCCTCCCTGCAGGTAGGGATGCGCTGTGGCCTCCAGCTTCGTGCCTTTCCAACCCTCAGCTAGGAATGGCCAGAGCTTCAATGTGCCCCCCCCACCTCATTTATCTCTCTGAAAGTGCCTACTGATGTGGGTTGTGTCTCCTTACTCGTGAGCCCCTCAAGGGTGGCGACCTGGGTTTGTCAGGGTATTTGGGGCAAAATCAGAGCTTAAAGGATGAAGAATGTTTATAATAGACCATGTGACAGGTGGGTGGGACAATAGGTGCCCCAGAAAGACAGGACAGTGCTTGGGGGGCCTGGGGGAGGCCTGTGAACAGGTGTGATGTGTTCAGGGCTTGTTGTGTTGGGGCTGCAGCCTGGAGTCTGCAGGGAAATGTGTGGGTTATGAGAAGTGGGGGGCGTGGCGGTGAGAATCCCTCTTGGGCCAGCATGGGGTTTGGATGAGAATGAGGAACCTGGCACAATAGTGTAGATGATGCAATCATATCTCAAAATCAAAAAAAAAAAAAAAAAAGGGGAATTTAGTTTAGGTGGAGATGGGTGTCTCGCTGTTCTCATTGAACCGGAGGGGTGCAGACCTTACCCCTGGGGCCCTGCCCCCGCTGTAATGCCAGGGTGGGGGATCTTCCATGTTTGCTTGCCCCCCTTAGTGGTCCTTCCCCTCAGTGACTGCTGTGAAGTGTTTCCCCATCACAGAGCCGTGAGCGAGAAGCTGCCTTGGCTTTGTTCAACCTCAAAGGCACTGACACTGCAACCAGGTCAAGTGGGCTGGGAGGCCTTTGGTCAGGGAAGGAAGCACCAATAGTGAGATCCTGAGCATGAAATGCTGGTGATACAGAGAGGGTGCTGGAGCACACGAATCCATGCCAGGGGATCAGAGTTTTCCACGGGGAGGGAAATCCCCTTCAAGGTGGCTGCCAGAAAGGTGTCTCCTGGCACTCGTGAAGAACCTGGCCCTGTGTGCCTCTGGCTGGCCTTGCCCTGGCATTTGCAGGTTCTTCCTGAAAAACTGCTCTTGGCTAATCTTCCTGCTGGAAACTTCTTGTCCTGGGGAATCACTGGTGACTCCCAGACGACTTGCTTAGCTCTTGAATTCAGACTGAACTCCCTCTAGCAGCTGTGCCACATCACCCTTCCCTTTTCTCCTAGTCCTGTGTCTAGTGAGAGAGGGCACGGAGGTGTGTCCTTCCTTGGTGGGTGGAAACTAGCTCCATTTTGCTCCTTCCATTGGGAGCTCTTAGCAGAGAACCAAGAAGGCTGCACTGGGAACAGCGCCCCATTGGGCCTGGGTTCTGGGGTGTTTTGACTACTCTCCCTCTCCAGCCAGGTTAACTACAAACCAATTCCAGAGACTTTCTCAGCCCCTTTCCTGACACTCAAGCCCTCAGCTGCCCTTTCTTCCCCAACTCCCCCCATCCTGCTTCCCCACTGTTATGGCCCTCTGCTGCATGGCCTAGGGATGCTAATTTTTTTCATGTATTTGTGCTTTTTGCAACTCAAATACAGATGGAATTCCATCTCTCCATCCCTGCCACCCACGGAGCACTCTCTAGGCCTTTGACGGGGCTGGCCTATAACACAACTTGAGGGGGCGCCATTCCCCAAGAATACAGAGTCCCTAGTACCTGACTTTGGGGGAGGCAGTGGCTGTGCTCTCTGCATGGGGAGTGAGAGGTAAGGAGGACCTGGTCCCAGAGGAGGGCCTCTGAGGAGGCGAAACCACAACATCTGAGGAGGCCAGGACTTTGGGGCCTTCCTCCCTGGGCCACAGAGGGCTGAGGCACCTGAAATGCTCAGTTCCTGGTCATGCAGTGGGAAGGATGCTGGATGCTGAATTCCAAGAGAAAGATTCCTAGAGAGGAGGGTAAGACAGTGAAAGACGGTGGCAGAGATCCAGAGGTGGAGAAAAGAGCAAAGTAAAGGAAGAGAGCTAGAGTCACTATGGCTTGAGTCACTAGAACCCACCCCTGCCAGGCCAGTGACCCCTACCTGTGCAGCCTGGCCGAGGCAGAAGCTCCTGGGGCCGTGCGTCTCAGCCTCAGACCCACGCAGCAGCTGCTCAGCCTGGCGTGGCCCTGGCTGACAGAGCCACCAGTTCACGTCAAGAAAGTGGATGAGCCCCGGCTCCTCCCCTGAGGGAGTGGGTGGGAGGGCCCTGAAGTCTCATTCCTGCAGAGGGCCTATGGATTCGTATGGAAAGTGTCTGTCCTTGCTACCAGGTGTGGACCTGGGGATCAAGACCCGGTCCAGGGTCCAGGCTGTGGACTCAGGGCTCTCCAGGACCCCAGGTTCAGGAAGACCGTGGCTCAGAGTCAGCTGAGCAGCAGCACTTGCACCACTGATCCGGGCAAACAGGTTTCTCAGATGAGAGGAGGGGCAGGGCTGACACCAGAAACCTGGGCTTTGCAGTTTACTAGATTTTGGCTTCGGGCCATGGCTCAGCACAGGCGTGGCAGGTGCACACACACATACACACATACACACACGACCAGCGGCTTGTTGGGGGGCGCCGCAGAGTGGTGGTGATGAACAGATGACTACACGCCGCTCACCAGGACGATGGGGGCGAAGCAGGTCCCGCTGCTCTCTCTCATTTTTGTCTTCTACCACATGCGGATAATAGCTGTCTCCCAGGGCTTGGAAGGGTGAGATAAAAACAGTGGAAGTGGAAATGTTTTATAAGGTGCCATGAGCCTGGGAGGCTGCCCTTGTCTGAGCTCCAGGTAGCTGGACCTGGGACATGGCTGGGCCTGGGATGGCAGCGTCAGAGAGGAGCAGAGGCACGACCCCAGGAGGAATGCCTTCTGTGGCTCCCACATCATGGGGGAATTCTTTTTTAATTTTTTTAAATTTTATATTTTAATTTATATATATATATATTATTTTTTTATTATTATTTTTAAAATTTTATA